CTGTAGTGATTCTGTCAAAACACTAAAGACAAATAAAAGATACCTCTGAAACTAGTTATTCAGGCTCTCCATTTCTACCTATCCTACCCTTCTGCCAATTTAACCTCTGATAAAACAGCTGTTAAGACCCTACCTCCCCAAAGACTCCATGCTCCCACTGACTCACCAGGCATTGTGACCATGGTCTGTCTTTCCATCTTCTTCTGCAAAATACCTCTGCATATACTCAGCAATGGACCAAACTCAAACTCATCACTCAACCAGACACTCTCAGTCCGCTTTCTGCCTAGCAAAATTCTATCCCTCCCTCCAAGCCTGCATTGTGTCCATTTTTTTCTTTCTTCATCCGATCTACTCTTTTTGCATTTTTTTTTATTTAACATGTCTCCAACCTTCTGCAATGCAAGAATAAGCAAATAAGCAAACAAACTTGAACTCTTACAGAGCCTGGAATTGCTTTCCATTTTGCTTTGGCAAGAGAGTGCCCAATAAGTAAATATCGAATGCATTCATTAACTGAACAAAGACTATTTCACAAGCATTGAATTTGTTTCTACTATGAGCCAGTTTATTGTTTGGCAATGAGATATAGATTAAATAGATAAGCTTGTGGACAAAATTCAGTCTGTTAAGTACTTCAACAGAGGTAAGCCTTTATGGGAGTGGCACTAATTCAAGTGAGTCAATAAAATAAAAAAAATGGATGTATATGTGAATGAATAACTTAGTTCCTCTGAGCTGACATTTACAGGAAATGCCCTCATTTCTTACTTACAATGCTCACTCAAAAGCTCAGGTGGAAACTAGTTCTGATTCTCAACACCTGCTGTCTTAGCTGCTGTCACTTTTTAACCACTGCACAGACTGAGGGCTCCAATTTTTACTTTAAAAATATTAACTAAGGATTTGAAACATAATTCTTAAGCATAAGGCTCATGTTTCAAAATTAGAGACAGGTAAAATATTTGTTTAATGTTTCTTCATTCTATCATCACGCGCATGATTTTAACTGTTTACTTTCTTCCATTGGCATTCTCCTTAGGATGACATGAAACTTCTAGAGTTCTTTGCAAAAAGAATCTCAGATTAATATTTTTATGGGCTTTTTCTGTTTTACAGCCTTTCCATTCAAATTTTTCTTTTTCCTTATCTGGCTTTGCTATTTTATCTTTTAGACACAAAAATGAAGGTAGCCACTTGAACCTGTATTGTACTTGGCACAGTGACCTGATAGGTGATATAAATGGGGTGAGATCATTACATGCACTTCAGGCAGGCATCATCCAGTTACTCAGGATCATTGTGCTGTGACTCGTCAGACAACATAGTTTGGACCAAATCTTTCTTGATGTCCTTCTGCAAGGTATCTGTAGATATCACTCAATTGAATTTTCAAATAGACAAATCTGACCTGCAAATCTTTACTTTTCATGTTACCATGTCATATTAGACCCCTGTGAACTTAAAGTGAGAAAACAAGACATTGTTTTTTATTTCTATGGTCCAGTCCTTCAGCCAGTGTTTATCGAACACCTACTATGTGCCAGACATTTTTCTACATGTGGAAGTATGGAAACAATAATTAAATAACACAATTGATGTCTTTTGAGCAGCCAAAGGAAAGGGGACTGAGCATTACTGAGGGAGAGAAGTGTATTTGATGCCAGTTGTTCAGAAAAAGCCTCTTCAGTAAGGTGCATTTGAGCAGAGACTGAGTAAATGAGAAGGGAGCTTGCAGCTATGTGGAGAGGAGCATTCCAGAAAGAGGTGGAAGCAAGTGCCAAGCCCTGAGGCTTCACATGCTCAGGGAACAAAAAAGGAAGCCAGTGAAGCCAGAGTAGAGAGATCAAAGCAGATTGGTAGGAAGTAAAATCTGCGAGGATGTGTTGGTGACATCATATGAATGTTGTGGCTGTGGTTAGTTTATTTTATTCTGAGGGAGATGAAAAGGTGTTGGAGGGACGTAAGCCAATGGATGACACACAGCTTGTATATATTTTAAAAGATTACTATAGCTAGTGGGTTGTTTGAGTTTTCTTATTCTGTGTAGCAAATTACTACATATTTACTGCCTTAAAACAACGTGCATTTATTATCTCACAGGTCCCATGGGTCAGAGCCAGGGAGGACGGGCTTCTTAGCTGGGTCTCATAACATAAACTCCAGGTGCTGCCGGGCTCTGTTCTCCACGAAGCTTGGGTCCCATTGCAAGCTTGTGCAAGCTGTTGGCAGAATTCACATCCTGAGATTGCAAGATCAAACTCCAGGTCCTCAGGGTTTTTTGTCTGTTTGTTTTTGCCATTTTCACCATCTTTAGTTTGATATTTAAAGAACAACAACTCATTAAGGAGCTGTTGTAGAATATGCTAAGGAAAATAAGTCTAAAGGAGAAAGACAAGTACCAGATGATTTTACTCACATGTGGTTTAAAACACATACACACACACAAACAAAACAAAGGAACAGGCAAAATTAAATGGCAAACCCTTGAAATCTAACGGAAGAACTGGAGCTAGCAGAAGGAGATGGGAGCAAAGTGGAAGCAAGGCGGAGGGAGCCCAATGGACCATGATGGAGGAGTATTGGGGCTTTGGTGGTGGATGTGTATGGAAACAGTATAGTTGTGAAAGTCTCCACAACTCATACACATCTGAAACTCTGGCCCCATTAAGCAACAACTCTTCTCTCCAGTCCTCCTTCTGGTAAGCATTATTCTACTTCCTTTCTCTATGAATTTGACTTCTTTAGATGGCTCACATAAGTGGAATCATATAGTACTTGTCTTTTTTGTGACTGGCTGTTCCTTCGTTTTGCTGGCTGTCAGCCTGGGGGACTGTCAGTCCCTAGCTATGTACCTCTCAACCTGGTAGCTGACTTCTTCAAAGACAGCAAGAGAATCACTGGGAATCACCCACTTTCCAACTTGCCAGCATCACATGATCACAACCCGGATGTCCCCATCAGTATTGTCCTCTGATGGAACCTAGTAGGGAGTGACAGTCCCGTCAGAGTCACAGACCATGCCCACCCTGGAATGGAAGGGATTATGCAGGGTGTATTCCCAGAGTCCTTATCAGATTTCTGCCTCTCATGCAAATAGAGAACAGAATCTTGGAAAGGTAAGAGAGAAAGTGGAGTCCAGTTAAATAGCACTGGAGGTCTGGAGGTCAGTATTTCTCAAAATGTGATGTGTATATGAATCTCCTGGGTTTGTGTGAAAATAAATTCTGACTTAACTGAGTTACAGTGGAAGCATGCTAGTTGATGGTGATGCTGCTTTTGGAATAATAACAAGATGTGAGTTAGCAGTGACCTTGATGTGGTCTGGGCTTGTAATGGTGGAGATGAGAAGTGGACTGATTAAGGACCTCATTTGAAATTAGATTCAAAGGGCTTGCTAAGAGTAAACAGGCATCAGGATGACTTCTAACTTCAGGGGATGGCAAAGATTGTAAAAAGAGCTTAGCCAGGGCAACAATCAAGTGTTCAGCTGTGGCTATGCCAAGTTAGAATCCAGATAGATATGATCACTAAGTCTATGAAAATAGCAGGTTTGTAAATTATATGCAGTGTGACAAGAGAGTCAAAATTTTATGTTACTATGTACCACAACTGTGAGACTCTTCTTAAGTATGCTTGGAATTCATTTTAGTGTATTTAAAAAATATAAGCAATAAAATGGTTCTTACTGATTTTTGTTGCAGTTTCTCTCTGTTTCTCTTGCTTTGACATTTCTTGTCCCCATGCCAATGTTCTTTGCAGCAAATTAACATTTTATTACTAACACCATTAAAGCAATTCCTAGAAGCCAAAGTGTGCATCACTGCATATATAAGGCGTATCATATTCAAGCACTAAGACTAAAACTGGATTTAAAAAAAAAAATAAGTTTTCAGCAACTATTGATTCTGGTAGGTGACTCACTAGTAGCTGAATCACCTAATTTTCCCTGGCGACATAGGCATTTTCATGGTGTGACTAATTGTTTTCTTTCCTGGGCTAAATTATGCAGTTAGCTTTGTCCACTAAAAGAGCTTACATAGTAGTCAGGCCACACTGCTTTCAGAAAAGAGCACGTTAGGTTGCACAGAGAGGGTATGTTTACTTATAATGCCCTAAACATAAACTGTGTAAAATCTCTGGCTTATCCATATTCATTTTCTTGAAAGAATTGCATTGGAAAGGGATGTAAACTGAAATCTGTGTCACCCTGGTCTTCCATGGGATGGCTGCAGGAATGCTAGTTTAGCCAAAGAAAAGTTTAAAAAGGAGTTGGGCTTGCAACATTTCATATATTTTAATATTCTTTTAAATAAAACACATCTCTTGTTAACATTGTCAAGTGAAATAAGAGTATGAGAAATGATTCCTGGTTTCAGTTTGGGATAAAATGATGGCAACATAGGCGAGTTGGTGTAGAGCACGGTTCATTCTGTGGAAGAGGTGAAAATTCACTTCTCTGCATGCAAAAGTCTTTGTAGAAACCCCGGTTTTATTTTCCTTGTTGATAAGCAGCAAAGTCTGGTAGGTTTTATGACCAGATATAAAGGAGAGTAAGGAGGGACATATTTCAAGGATGGCCTGGTGATTATGTTTTTAAATTAAACTAAGTCATTCAATCACTGGGGTGACAGCAGATCTTAACCCCACTGAGTGTGCTAAGCAAATCAGATTTTATAATGTCGGGGCACCCTTCAGTCTGGAACCCTGGGCTGGGACTATTACCTGATGTGATGATTAGTTTTCTGTTCATTTGGAAGAGTGTGAACAAAGTCACTACAGATACTGCACTTGTTATGGTTGATCTGTGGGTCTCTATTTTGTATAGAAAATCAGAATCTAAATGTAGGTGTAACTTTCATAAATGTGTTCACAGGTGCCCCCATTTTTCCTACTATTGAATCTACTTTCATGTAATATGTTAACTTCATTTATAATATGAAATTTAGCTTTTGCATGATAATTTAAGCAACTAACTTCTGACCTTTTCTTTTCCCTAGGAGCACTGAATCAAAAAAACTGGGGAAAGAAATATCCGACATGCACTAGTCCCAAACAATCTCCCATCAATATTGATGAAGATCTTACTCAAGTAAATGTAAATCTTAAGAAACTTAAATTTCAGGGTTGGGATAAGACATCTTTGGAAAACACATTCATTCATAACACGGGGAAAACAGGTAAAATGTTTGTATTTTGCTTGTAATTTCAGTATGTTTATATTATTGTAGATTGGGTTTAAATTAGTTTCATTTCATTTTCCTTTAATAATATAGAATAAACTCATAGAAACCAAAAAACTAGCGAAAATTGTAAATTTAGAGAACACTTTGGATTGTGCACAAAAATTAAATGACTAAAGTCATCATATTATCTCCAGTAAAAAAATAATAATGATGCCTCCACTAGAAGATGTGTTAAAGATAATGTTTAAATAATTAATTATTTCATCACTTAGTCAATTTGGTTATCTTTTTCTTGGGCATCTCAGTTTTATCTTATCTGTTCCACCTCTTGCTATATTCAATATTTAGAGCTGAAAAAAAGCAATCAACTACAATTGAATTTTAAGAAAATTATTTACCAGCCTTTCTATATAAAAGGCTAAACATAGATATTTAGGAAATAGCCCTCTGTATCTTTTTTTTGTTTTTGGAGACAATCCTTTTTTAATTCTTAAAAAATTTTTTGAGATTTTTTTTTAAAACATGCAAAGTGTAATACCATGAAAAAAGTTTCAATCCAGTAAGTGACAGATGGACAAAATAGTTTTTTAAAAATGGAGATTTCTTTTGCTGATAATGATAATTATATTTTAAATGAAATTAAATGTAGATTAGGAAGTGTGGAAAATATACCCATAGGGAAAATTTCAAAGTTTTAATAGCAATATTTCTGTGGTTTTATCATGTGTGATTTTTTCCTTTGTTTTCTATAATCTGGTGATACAACTATTTAATGTAATTAATTTAAAAGTCATAAGACTGTAGGAATTTTACTATATTTGTACATAATACATAATAAACTGGCAATAAGTTTTAAATAAGTCACTAAGAATATTATCACGTTATATTATTTAGTAAATACATAAAACTATACTGTATCTTATCTTGACATTTTTATTACCAGTTTTGGAAAGCAGTAAAAAGCAGGAAGATGTGTAATCTGCTTTATTTCCCTTAGTGGAGTATGGTCATGCACTTAGTCATTAGAACTAAGATTTTTGAGCTTCAAAATACAATGTTGGATTTTAAGCAAATTAGCCTGTATGACTCAATTTCCTTATCTGAAAATTGGGATTTTGATGGTATATTCTTCCTAGGGTTGTGCAAGTCTCAAATGTTCAATCCATGTAAAGGACTTAGTGTGATGATGCTGATTATGATAATGAACGATGATTAATGGAAGTTGACATTGCTAGCTAACTGGCCTATATATTGGATTCATTCCTTAATACCAATAGTGATTTCTACCCAGTAGAACAAAGCTCTTTAACTTTGATGAAAGACATTAAAGTCTTGTATAAGGTCTCAGCAGAATCATTCATCTTTAGATGAATCATAAAATACAATAATATCTAAAATACAGATAATATCTATTGTGCATCTCAACTAGGGGAGTTTTACTATACTGATGGTTGCCAACAGGGAGCAAACGGTAGGTGGCTAGAAACCCTTCGGTAGGAATGGATTTCCTGTCTTCCTTGCCACATCTAGGACAGAGCATGTTCTAGAGCTTGATGGAGCCTGGATGATGCTTGGATGGAAAAAGAGAGGAGATAATGATAATGATAAGGAGTACAAATAGCTGAAAGTTGGTGGGGAGGGGCTTCCCAGGAGAAATGCTTGTCTCTTCTCCCTTTACTCTATCCTTTTTTTGCCATCAGATTCCTTAGGCAAAGAGCTTGGAGGGAACCTTTTGCTTAGGACAAACAAGAGATTGACTTGTATAATCTGCTGTGACTGTCAGGCAGCTGTAAGGTCTGTGGTTTAGTTTCCATGTATGGCGATAAGATATGTTAATATAATATGCAGAGTTGCAAAGATCAGCTTCCAACTTAGTCTTTATTTTTATTTACCAAAGAAATTACTTTCTTAATGTACCTTTAATAGAAGAAAATTGAGCTGAAATTTGTAATTTTGATTTTCAGAAACATAGATGTAGCTTATTGCATTGTTATTTGTTTATTTGGTTCTGTTTTCTTAGTGGAAATTAATCTCACTAATGACTACCGTCTCAGCGGAGGAGTCTCTGACATGGTATTCAAAGCAAGCAAGATAACTTTTCACTGGGGAAAATGCAATATGTCATCTGATGGATCAGAACATAGTCTGGAAGGACAAAAATTTCCACTTGAGGCAAGTCAATAGTTCCATGGGTTACTATTCCATGTTCTGAATCATTGGGATTTCATTTGACATGTAATTTGGTTTATTTGTAATTCAGATCTTATAACTTATAGAGTTACATTTTGTTTACTTGGTTAAGATCTGCCTTCCTCACTAGACTAAACTCAATAAGACTCATATTTGATTTGCTGCTTCCTGGTAAGTCAGAGCTACATTCTATGGAGATGATCAATAAATGATGAGTGAAGGAAATGTTTCCCATAGCCCATTTAAATGCAAATTTAAATTAAAAAAAGTGTTTAGCTTTAAAATTGACAGACTAGATATAACAAATAATGTGTATGTGGTGAAACAAGCACTTTCATACATTTCTGAAGAGAATATAAATTGGTATAAAGGAAGTAGTTTGCTTGTTTTTATAAAGAACATGAAGTGCTTTAGTCTCAATACCCACTATTTCACTTCAGAGCAAGTTATTCTAAAAAGACTTGTTTAAAAATCTAAAAAGATGTATCCAAAAGGAAACCATTTTTATATTAGGATGAACACTGTACAACTTGTAAAAAGTATATTTTAAATGATTTTTTTACCTGAAAAAGACTAAACTATAAAATAGATTACATGGTAGTATTATTTAAATTTTATAAAACACAAAAATTAGTGACTAAGTACAGTCTGAGTCAAATGAATTAGATTGGAATCCTAGCTTCACCATTCAGTTATTAGTTATATGACATGACATTATACAACTTGTTTTATGTACCTAATGCTCCTTTTTTTTATTGTGGAAATGACATCATAACATTTCCTACCTATAAAGTTACTATGAAAGTTAAATGAGGAAGAAAAGATTGTTACAATAATAAAAATAATTGAGGGAAATCATGGAGCAAATCAAATGATTTTTCTATGGCAATTCTTTTAAGGTGTCCTTTCTTTGCTTCTTTAAAACTTCAATATTTTGATGATTATTTTTGGCAGAACTTAACCTAGTGACTACCTTCGTAGTGAAGCAAATTTGGTTTGCTAAAGAAATAATAATCAATGCATTAAATATATAGCATCTCACTTCTGAGGCTTTAACACTTTCAAAATGCTACTCATTTAGACAAATAGAATATCAACAGAAAAATCTTGTCCTGGGCAACCACAATACATGGTACAAAATCTGTAAACTGAACCTCCTAAGTAGTTTGCATTCAGAAGTCCCTCAAGTCATCTCTGGAGGAATTTGTGTGTGTGTTGTTTAATTCTTAAAAAATCACTTGCTTAATTGTGCGGTCAGGGAAGCTTGGGGCCAAGCTGACTTGCTCTTTTTTCCTGGTCTCCCCATCCCTTTTCAATGCTGCCCCCAAATAATGCTGGAGGCCAGCACAAAATTTCAAACCAGCATTCTTTCTTGGTTGGATTGTTAAATCTCAACCTGGTTGTTCTCCCTCACTCCAGTCTGCTCTAGTCCCTCCACAACCACCTCCCCAGCGCCAATGACCAGAATGTATCTGTGAATTTCCATTTACTATCCTCAAGTCAGAACTGCTGGATTGCAATTGGGTCCTCCTAGATGACCCCTGACCACCCTTTTAGCCTTATCTCTCTCTCTCTTTCTCTCACTAACCCTCTACTAAAATCATAAACATATCAGGGTTTCCCACAGTGAACCCTCTACTGAAATCATAAACATATCAGGGTTTCCCACACTCCTACATGTAGGCTATTCCTAGGTGGGCTCCTCTGACTTGAACTTGGTCATCTCCTCAGCCTTCCCATCTGTCATCCTTTAAGCTGCTCATCCTTCCACAGCCAGTTGAGAAATCTGCTCTCTGAAAATCTTTAGTGAACCCCTCATGCTGCTGCCAATGCCAGGAGTAACTGCCCCCACCCTGCCTTACACCCTCTGTTTCTCTAGTCACAACCCTGACACTCTTCTGTGCCCTCAGAAATGTTTTGTTTTTCCTTTAATTATGCTTCTAAACTAGCTGAGTAACCTGATTTCTAAGCCCATGATATGAGTAGACCAAATTACAAGTGAGAGTGGCTCTTCATTACAGACAGCTATATGGACAGAGGTGGAATCCATCAATAATACATAGCTTCCCAGCGGGAGAGGAAACTTGTCATCTGAAACTTAAAACACTTGGGTATTTTGTTCAGTAGAAGTAGAGAATATGTAAGAGTTCCATTATTACTAAAGCACAGAGTGATGAATGTCCAAAAATGATAACCTGACCGAGGACCTCAAGAAAAGCGTGCCCATTCAAGAAAGACTGGAACCATTTGAAAATAAAAAGAATTATAAAAATCTATGGAATTTTTCACATTGAATTATTGAACTGATAAAATATTTTCCCAAATCCCTTTCTTGACCTTTATGAACCTTTATAGCTAATGAATCTATCTGTTATGTTTATAGATGCAAATCTACTGCTTTGATGCAGACCAATTTTCAAGTTTTGAAGAAGCAGCTAAAGGAAAAGGGAAGTTAAGAGCTTTGTCCATCTTATTTGAGGTAATCATTATGGATAGATTTGGCACTAACATAATTCCTTTGTTGCTCACATGGACAATTTTATATATATATATATATTATATATATATATATATATATATAATATATATATATAATATATATGTGTATGCACACACTCACACATATTTTACATCATTGTTCATTTTGTACATTTTTCATCTCAGTTGTAATCCCTGTGGACTTCCCACCACCGCTTCACCCATGTGCCTTCACCATAGTCCTGTGTGACCCTACTCCCCTCTTCACCCCATAGAATGTCTTGCCTACATGAAATATTGGTGTGAACTATCAAGACATACTTTCCAACAAGTGAAATGATAGCTCATGGGCATTTTTAAAGAGAATGACCCCTTTGCTGATATGTTTAAAAGGAGGTGCTTGTATTCACCAATGGGGTACCTCACTTCTGGTTGGAGCAAACTGTTGTGTAAGTTCATAGATTTATTTGTGGATGCAAAGTATCATTATGATGTAGCAGTAACAGTGCATCATCACATTTTCAAAAGTATTTTTCCTGTGGAAAACTTAAAAATTACTGGGTTTTGTTTGTTTTTTTTCTTGATCTGAAAAAAAAAAGTATTCCTGTGGAGGACATTAGTTTTTGATTATTTAAAATCAAATTCATTAATCTTTACATTTACTTGAATAGTTGAATATTTTACCCCTTTTTTAACAGGTTGGAATAGAAGAAAATCTGGATTACAAGGCAATTATTGATGGAGTTGAGAGTGTTAGTCGTTTTGGTAAGCCATCTGGAGAGATCTCTCCAAGTTTCTATTTTGGATGCATCTGAATTTTTATAATAGTTTTAAAACCACTTGTTCCAAAAGGAAACAGAGAAGACATTTATAATGACAATTAATCTCTCACTCTTTACACTTGATTAGTTATACATTTCTTACTGACAATTTACTAGCATTTTTCTGATAAAACATTAATGTTAGGAAGTTGAAGCTTTCTAATTTCATTCTTAAAAGTAATCTAAGTGCGGCCCTCCCTGGTGGCGCAGCGGGTTAAAGCACAGCACTGAGAATCTAAAACCGCTTCCGCATGAGTTCGATTCCCGCCTGCCCTGGAGGTGAC